GCAATATGCTGACTCTCTGTAAACCGCTTAGAGAGGCCTGAAAGGCCTATGAAGCGGTATATAAGTCTACTGCTATTGCTATTGCTATTTTCCCAAGTTTGCACCCGATGGTACAGAAGTGGTACCTTTTGGGCTACATAATAAATAGTACTCATATATGAGCACCTGAAATAAAAATAAAATATATATTTACATATAAGATTCATGCCATCCATCTTATGCAGAGGCAAATTTCATTCTTTTTGTTAGCTTAATTATTCTTCAAAAACAATTGTGTTTAATTTAAATATGGTAAGAGAAACCATGTAGGCTAAAATTAACAATTTGTAACATACATATTGATAAAAAATGTGTAATATTTGGGTTTTGTTCACACACACATGCACGCACAAATGCTTGATCGCTTTTCAATCCTGTAGTTTCTCAGTTTTTCAGTGCCAGAGTAAATGAAAATATGTAGTATATGGCAGGGGTCCCTAGCCCTTGGGCCATGGACCAGCACCGGCCATGGACTGCCAGGAACCAGGCCACCCAAGCAAGTGAAGCCCCATCTGTGCACACATGAGATCCAGACTGAACCTGAAACCACCATCACCTCATCTGTGGAAAAATCAGTCCCTGGTATCCCAAAGGTTGTGGGCTGCTGGTATATTAAGTTTGATGGGCACATTGATAACAGCAAGAATCATGCTGGGATCAAGGAACTACACAGCTTACAAAATAAATAAACTATCCATAGCCAAAACTTAAAAGGACGATACAAAGATTAGAAATTGGAGCACTGAATCTTCAGTCACATATCATACTTCTAGAGGACAACAAACTCATTACTTCATATATAATTAGATTGGCAGTGCTTACACGACCTACTAAAAATAAATAAAGGCATAAAGTAAAGGTAAAGGTTCCTCTCGCACATATGTGCTAGTTGTTCCCGACTCTAGGGGGCAGTGCTCATCTCCATTTCAAAGCTGAAGAGCCAGCGCTGTCCAAAGAAGTCTCTGTGGTCATGTGGCTGGCATGACTAAATGCCAAAGGCACATCGAACGCTGTTACCTTTCCACCAAGGGTGGTTCCTATTTTTCTACTTGCATTTTTACATGCTTTCAAACTGCTAGTTGGCAGAAGTTGGGACAAGTAACGGGAGCTCACTCCGTTACACTAAGGTGACCAGACATCCCGCTTTTGGCGGGACACCCCCGCTTTTTAATGCATTTTCCCGCGTCCCGCACGCTTTTTTAAAAAGCA